AGGGGATGTTCCCCGACGTTCCGCCCCATTGGCTGCCGGGTCTCTTGCCAGGTGAGTGAGGCTTCCTTCCAGGGATTCCGGGCGGCCTGCCTAGAGGTGCAGCTTGAAGAGGCATCGGATGAGGATGTCTGTGATCCGCGGCGTGTTTAGAAGCGGAAGAGTCCCGTCTGCTGAGGTTCAACGCGCTGTCGGAGTTCTCATCGTCCTCCTCGTCCTCCTCCGAGCCGAACTCGCTGCTCTTCTCGCCTCCGCTGTGCACGTCCGCGTGTCCAGTCATGGCTGTCACCGAGCCCGAGGACTTGCCCATGGGCGGTGGTGGAAAATGAGCGGGGAAACTAGGCGGCAGAGGTCCGGAAGACACGGCTACGGAGAGAGGATGGCCGAAGTTGAGCGCCGAGGAGGAGACCGGTGTAACCGGTGGCATGTGAGGCCTTTGAAGTTGGTTCACTGTCGAATGATGAGGTGGACTGTGAGGACTCTGAGGGTTTCTCATGGATTTTCTGTTCTGCATCAGCTGTTCCGCCGGCGGAGGCGGTGGCAGAGGTGGAAACGCCGGTATACCGATCGATCCAAGCTTCCTGAAGTCGAACGGTTGCATGCTTTGCAGTCTGTTGAGCGGTGAGACGGTCAGATGAGAGTCCAGGCTTCTCGGTGGAGAGTTGACGGTGCTTGTGACACCGGGGTTACCGGTGGACGCGGTGGAATAATGTTTCTGCGCGGTCGGCGACATGGATGGATGAGAGACAGAGGGCGGAGGTGGCGGCGGGGGCAGAGGCGGAGGCAACCTGGAGCCTGGCGGCGGCAAGCCGCAGTGAAGCAGGTGCAACGGCGGCGGTAAGTGTGCTAGTGGCATCGTCGGCGGCGAAGGTCGTCTGCTTGGTGACATAGCATCCGTACCCGGCGTCCCGGCGGCCAGCAGCAACTGCTGCACGAACGGACGCGTCTCGGCGAACCTGAGGAACTGCTGCAGTACCAGCGGCTCCTCTTCAGGAGAGCAGATGCTCCATCGGTCCAGCACCGGGCCGTTCTGCGAATCCTGCAAGCAGAAAGATCGAGGTGGTTGGTTAGGTTTTTTAGGTTAAGGGCACTTTCAGTTAAGTTAAGCGAGGCTAAAACAGAAAGACCAATAATTTCGGTTACTTTTTTAGGTTAGGTTTAGATACACTTTGGGAATTAATGTAAGTTTCAAGTGAATATTGGTGTATTTTCAGTACTTTCTTATTCTGTTGGCTACTATCGAAGAGAACCTTGAGTTAGGTTAGGTGAGGCCGGAACAGAAAAATGATTATGTTCGGTTCCACTTTTACTTTAGATTTAGATACTTGGTTACTTTTTTAGGTTAAGTTTCGATATGATTTTGAGGTGTTTGTTGATGCACTTTTTGGGTAGAGTGTTTTAATGCTTTGTTGTTCGGTTTGCTATTATTGAAGAGAACTTTGAGTTAGGTTAGGTGAAACCGTGTTTGGACACATTTTTACGGTTAGATTTAGATACAGTTTGGGAATCGATGCAAGTTTGAATGCTTTCTCATTTGGTTGAGCTGTTCTTAATGAGAATTTTAGGTTAGCTTCAGTTACATCGGTTTGGGTAAATACTAATTTAAGTTAGATTACATAAACTTAGCTTGGTGAGTTTAGTTTTTTCAAAGTTAAGTAGACAAGGGTTGGGCAAAGTTCTTCAGAACAGTTGGTCTATAAATTCTAAATTCCACAGTTTTCTTGTTTTCTGCAGCGTAGAGTTTCGAGATTAAAGGGATTTATCGTGACACTTTACGCGGAGATATAGAAAAGGGTGGTTTTACGAGGCTAAGCTGTATAAAGGAACTGTAAAGAAAACGACGTCTCGAAGGAAGGCGTAACAATTATTCCGGAATAGTCTGGAATCCGTAAAGGCTGTAAAACGTATTAGAGATGAACTCTCGGGTACATGCCGCGCGCAACTCACCGGAAGTCGTTTCGCTTCCTCTTAAAATTCCAGGTTTAACGTTCGATATATCGTGTTTACAGAAAGTCACGGTTCCAAACGAACGATCTTGCTCGATTACGTAAAAATTTATCAAACTTCCCACGCGATTCCCAAAATTCCGTTTTTCTAAGAGAAAAAAAAATATTCAGGGAAATTCGGTATTTGTAGCGTTTCTATTTTCGGTTTTCCAAATGAAATAAATATTTAGAAATTCATGTATTTTGATATTAAAATAACAAAGATATACTTTCTTTCCTGAGTGTGTAATTCTTGTTTCCATTCAATTATCGCTCATAACAGGTGTTACAATAATACCATTTTGCTTTTCCTTATTTTTCACCAAATTTTCGACTCAACATTTCCTGTTGCTACACAATTAGTATATCAAAATTTTCAATATTTCTCCGCCAGATGAAAATTCCTCCACTCGACATTTCCCACTGCTAAAGAATACTTACACAAGGTGCTTATTGTTCAACTCAATATTTTCTATTGCCACAAAATTAGTATATCAAAATTTTCCCACTTCTAAGAACTACGCAAACCAACCCATTACTTCCCAATCCTCGATTTTTGTCTCCACGCGTCCACGACATATAAAACTGTCCAGAGCGACGTCACGAGTACCGAAGGAAAAACCGGTGAAACCGTGAAGAAAAAAGCTCGCGTGTCACGGACGTCCGTGGATGAAGCAGCACAGCGTAGCGGAAATTAGCACTGCTACCGTTTCTAATAAATTTCCCCCGCTTCTCCGCCGACTCGACAATTTCCATACGTTCTAATTGAATACGGTGGCCAATCAATTACTAATCCTACGCTTCGATACCAACGGCCATAAATTTCTCTTTATTATATTACTACATTTACTACAGGACACGTTTAACAACCGAGGAAATGCCCCGCTTCCCGTGTCGAAACGCGGTGAAAAACCCGACCTGTTTTGTCCGTGGAAGGCCGCACGGTTACGTGATCGATTCGGGATTAATAACAATTAGTGTCAGCCGTCCTAAGAAGGACTACTCAGAGTACCCAAGCTTGTGCTTTATACACCTCTTCAGGCCAGTTTCTACTCTCTATCGAAGCCACCATCCGGCAGAACAAGTCGGAAAATGAGCGACGACGCTCGACCATGCTTGAACCCCAACTTGGCGGAAACGGATTTTTGCTCTTGGACTTTTTCCATTTCTAGACGTTAGTAAGGATGGAACTAACGTCTGTGTACCGGCAGAACAAGTCGGAAAATGAGCGAGGACGCTCGACCATGCTTGAACCCCAACTTGGCGGAAACGGATTTTTGCTCTTGGACTTTTTTAATTTCTAGACGTTAGTAGGATGGAACTAACGTCTGTGTGAAATTTCAGCCCGAAAAAACCAACAGCACGGCTTCCAGAGACGGGTGAGGAGCGGTGTTCACCCATCCTTCTTACGGTCGCCGGCCCAATGTATCTTGACTTCGGTGATCGAACGGGAATCGGTAGACATGCACGGCTACGGCCGCTGGTACGGGATTAATGAATAACCGAGCCTAATTTATGCCGTTTAGCACAATTAGTTCTAGGTGAGTTGTCGCGACGGAACTCGGTCCACGCGAGTTTCTTTCGAGCGATCTTTACTTCAATACGTACGATTGCTGGCTGTTTTTCCGAGCGAATCTGTGTAAACGATCTTGTAAATTTGACGATACTGCGGAAGGAATTTTATCGGGCAAATAATGAAAAATTTGTGCAGAATTTTTCAAATTCGGAGAATAACGGCCACCGGTTTTCTGAACTATCGCGGGTAGGGCGCTTTGGCGTTCCACGTAACAAATTGGTGACAGCATCGATTAAAATAATTTTGGAAATTTGTAATATTCGTTGAGTGATTCTTGCAGAGTTTCAGTCTCAGTTTTTGTGGAAACAGACGGTTTTGGGGCGAAAAGGGGGTTTTACGTGAAAAGTAGAGACGCCAGGGGGTTCAGTGTAATTTTAGAAGATAGAGGAGAGAATTCTGAATATATCTTGTCAATTTATACAATTATTGAACATTGAAAACCATAAAATTTAATAAGGAGACAAATCGACGACGAACGTGATTATTCGTATACTCTGTCCAATTTAAGAATAACCTCGCCTCGCGCATGGGACGTGCCTAAGGCAGGGCTGGAACGTCCAAACCGCCTACGTTTTTCTCCGTCTTACCCTCTGCTGCGCTCTCTGTCTATGCGCAGAACGGACGAGAATCGGTCCGAGAGCGAGGTTACTCTTATTTTGAACGAAGTGTAGAATGTGAATCTCCACTGTGTAGAATCTCCAATTGATGGGTTGTGGCCACCAAGTGTCTCCAAAACGACCGTACGCATGATTTTCTCTGTTTAAAATTTGCCAATACGAAGATGTCATCTTTTTCTCCTCTGCGAGAAAAGTACAACGAAAATATTTTCTACGAAAGCAAGAATGAAAGGAGACAAAATGTGAGCAATTCGAATAATTCGCAATGTAGGAAATACTCGGCACAATCTGAAATTCGAATATTCGAATTCGATTCGAGTATTTGAAATATTCGAATTTCGATGGGGAGTGTGCAGAATTACAATTGAATTATTCCATAAATTGTAATTACAAAGTAACTGAATTATCATTCCGATTCTCCCGTCCAGATACAAAGACAAAAAAGAATTCCTTCTCTCTCGAGAGAGAATTCAATCTAAATATTCCCACTGTTCCGCACATGTCAATTTTAAATAACATTTACTAATTACGGGTACAATTGGAAAGTCGATCGTGAAAGACGTTCCTCTCGATTCCGATCATCGGCGGAACCGCAGAGCAGAGCAAAAACGAAAATATTATCACGGCCCGTTAATCGATCGCTAAGAAGTGCTCTTGACTTTTGACGGAGCGCCGCAAAAGAACGGGTGTATCGAAATGAGGAACGCGAAAGAGAAACCGTTGCGACCTTACGAGCTGCGGCGGAACGCTTTCCGGATCGATTGTCGAAGGAAACGCGACCGTCGACAATGAGCTTATATATATGGTAGATATAGGTAAATTTAGGTAAAGAAGCAAGTGGAAAATTGAAACTGCGTTGCTATATTTTCTATACAGAGGAGAAACTAGGTAGGTGTTTTTCTCGAATTAACCATGTCTTCACGGTTGTCGGAGACTTAACGGAGAGAAGAATGTGTGTGGTCTTTTGGAGACACTTGGATATGGGTTATACGAGTCGGTGAAGATTTCAATAGACGAGCTATTCGAATAACTCGGATTATTTCGAGTAGGAATTCTTTATTCGGATCATTCGAATTTCGAATATTCGAAATGTATAAAATATCCGTACTAATCTGAAATTCGAGTATTCAAAATGTAGGAATTATGCAGTACAGCCTGAAATTCGAATACTCTTAATTAGACTATGAAATTACAAACCGAATTATCTGAATTACCCCACTATTCAAAATGTACGAAATATTCGAAGCAATCTGAAATTCGAATATGTGTTCACAATTAAAATATGAAATTACAATTCTAAATTGAAATATTCGAAATCAATCCCGAAATTCGAATTATTCGAATTATCTGAATTACCCCACTATTCGAAATGTACGAAATATTCGACGCAATCTGAAATTCGAATATGTGTTCATAATTAAAATATGAAATTACAATTCTAAATTGAAATATTCGAAATCACAATCCCAATATTCGAATTATCCCACTATTCAAAATGTACGAAATATTCGACGCAATCTGAAATTCGAATATGTCTTCATAATTAAAATATGAAATTACAATTCTAAATTGAAATATTCGAAATCACAATCCCAATATTCGAATTATCCCACTATTCAAAATGTACGAAATATTCGACGCAATCTGAAATTCGAATATGTCTTCACAATTAAAATATGAAATTACAATTCTAAATTGAAATATTCGAAATCACAATCCCAATATTCGAATTATCCCACTATTCAAAATGTACGAAATATTCGACGCAATCTGAAATTCGAATATGTCTTCACAATTAAAATATGAAATTACAATTCTAAATTGAAATATTCGAAATCACAATCCCAATATTCGAATTATC